ATTTACTTCAAAGTAGGTCTTAATCTATAGTGTGAAAAATTCTCAAAAACCTATCGTACGCAACGTAATCTTGATTTATATACTATAGAGATAGACTTACAATTTGACACATTTTGTGCAATAAGTTTTGCATAAAACATTGTATTGTTACCTTTATTATTCAAATTTACCAACCAAAGACTACTAATATTTTATCTAACATATATATTAAATAAAAATTTTAATATCACAAACTCAAGTACCTAATCGCAATTTATTATTATCTTAGAATTTAATCTCAAAACTTAGCCCATTTCATCGCATTAAAACGGTACTAGTAACGTACCACGCAATAACTATGCAATTGCATTATGTTTATCTCCATAGCGAATATATTTTGTTTGAACAATAACGGGATAACTCGCATTCAACGATTATAACAGTTAAATCTTTAGTAGTGCAGCTGTTTGTTAAACAATATTCGACACTTCAAATCATTGCCGAATACGTAAACGCTGTGTATTAATAAAAGATTCCTTTCAGAAAAGGTAGAATGTAAAACAAGACAAAAGGTTGCCTTCATTGGTACAAACACATTTTCGTCGAGAATTCGCGCTTGTGATGTATGTAATAAAATTGTTACATGGCAAGGACAGTAATTCGGCAGTACTACAGTGCCTTAGCTTCAATACGTCGTACGTCAGGCGACATCGTCCGCCGTTACTTCATGTGCCTACCGTTAGGACTAACATGAAAATTACGAATTACATAGGTTAATAGACCTTTTTTATCATCCGTTGAGTGAACTGACAAAAGTTCTGTTATTTGTTAGTGCCTATAGCAGTTAGTTCATTTTTCTATTATATAATTCTATAGCTTGTTTTTCATAGTTAATTTCTTATGTTTGTTTTCTTGTGTGATTTTTTCATTGGCATTCCTGTCGATTTAAGAATTTGTTAAAGCTAGGTATATTATATAGATACAAATTTCTAATATAAACGCATATTTTGTAAGGAATTTTTAGGGAAATTTTCAGTGACATAACTTATATATTTAACACCAATAAAACTTGGGAGCTGATAAGCCAATAATTCCGAACGATATAAATTCAATCAGCTCATTTCATTGAGAATCTGTAATCCTATTATGTAATAAAGTATACGATTAAAAATATATGTACGTATAACAATTGCCAGATATACAAAGAGAATAACTATATTCAGCTTCTTAAAAAGGATAAAAGTTTTATAGTGTAAAAAAATTACAATTTTCAGGGCACAAATAGGAATTAAAAGTATTAGAAATGAATTTATACACCTCACGTGAAAAATTTAAAAAGAAACAACCGAACTCAAATCAAAACAACTTGAACATGAACTTCTGATAAAAAGGAAACATCTTTCAATATAAACATTTCGTAAAGCGTAAATTGTTCCGATATTTACAAGTACATATAACTTTTATTGTAGTAAATAAATTAGAAGAGCAACTAACATCAAATACTATGGCATCAATTGTTATAGAGAATAATAAAAACCTTTAAATAAATCCTGGTAAACAAAATAAAAGAAATGAAATGTAAGCGCCGTGTAAATACATACATCGGTATTCTTGCCGCAAGGATACATACATACAAAAAATATTGTTTTACTTCTTAACTTGGATAACATGGAACTTGGCTTCATGTTCCACAACTCTTAATGAGGCTAACATATTGTCCTGTTTTATTGGTGGCTTTAGATTTTATGTCCCTTAAAATCCAAACATTTATTGGTTCGATAGGAAATCAAGACCGGCCACTAAAGCCGAAAATATGCTTAAAATGAATTCTTAGCCACGGAAGCACAAACATTTTTTTATAAAAACATTCGTGTACTTACCTACTTCTGAGTGAATTCAGAGTGCACAGTGGAAATGACATTTTCTATAACAAAGATCCCAAAAATTAAATAAGGCTTTCAGAATCTGTCATTTACATTCGCACTCAAGATTCGTGTTGGTAATCGGTAAAATTCAGTTCTGTACCTCTGTGAAAACCACAGAATTTGTAAACCAAAGATTAGGCTAAAATTTTACAAATAAAAAATGTTAGCTAGAATCTATATACTGAAACTAAAGACTATCCGAAAGTTTATCTCACAAATTTACTACGAGAACTAATTTGTACTCTGATAAAATTTTATTAGCATCCGTTTAATAATGTTTATGTGCATATGTTAACGTAAAATTGTAAAAACCGTTAGATTGTAATCTATCTCGCGAGATTATAAACTGTCGAAAGATTGTGAACCTCAGCGTACTGATACAATTTAACGTATTATTATTCGGTAGATTGTAATCTATCGAAGTGAAACCGTCAAATTGTGAAACGGCCATTTTCTACTTTTCTATTAACTCGAAATCGAATACAAAAGTCGATTTTCACTTTTAAAAAATAGATTATTTTTGAATAATTTCAGAACTTTCGGAACCATACACTAATTGAAACATGAAGTTAATGTAATGTATGTACATTTGACAAGTAATGGTTAAATTAGGTTTAAATTTAAAATTAACAAATGAGGAAATAATCGATTCGATTAGGATCAACTTTAAAATGAACAAATGAGGAAATAATCGATTCGATTAATTTACCGAGAATGTCACATCACTTATAACCAATAGAAAAGTAGAAAATGGCCGTTTCACAATTTGACGGTTTCACTTCGATAGATTACAATCTACCGAATAATAATACGTAAAATTGTAAGCAGTTCGTTGAGGTTCACAATCTTTCTACAGTTTACAATCTCGCGAGATAGATTACAATCTAACGGTGTTTACAATTTTACGTTAACACATACATTCCGTCCTCAAATAAATGACGTTTTATTTATTAAATTTTTAGTTGTTATTTAACAGCTAATACAATTTTCTACAGTAAATACAATCTATTATTATACGCTGAACATAAAAGGAAAATTAAAAAAAAAGATAAAAAATAATGAAAGTTCCATTCTATATTAAATAAAAATAAATCCCAAAATATGTTGCTAAGCTCAAAACTCGACGACGGTATTACCAATTCGAGAGTTTTTATTTACTTATTCATTGAACTCGGAGATTTTTATGGAGAGTAAAATTTGAAAAATAAAAATAGTAAAAGTAATAAAATCATATATTACGGCGAAACGAAGTTCGCGGGGGCAGCTAGTTTAACTTAATAATTACCATTTTAAAGACTTTCTCCTAATGCGGATAAGGGACCTGATAGGTGCTATACTTTTTTTAAATTTATCAACCCACTACTGTAAACTGAATAAGTAGCGTTATGCATTCTGTTGTAATCAATTTTTTCATTCTATAAGTAATAAGTATTTAAATTAATTTTTCGTAAATACCAATTGCTTCTGATCTGGCCCGAGGTAATTACTAACTTTAAGAATAATAAGAAAAATAAACGAAAGTAAACAGAAATATTTTTCAACATCACATGTTTTAATATTTTAAACAAAAGTAATTGCTTGATAAGGATATATTATATTAGTAACGCTAAAATCTGGTTACAAAGTATTTAAAAAGTATAATACATATATTTAAACTCTACACAGTATAGACTATAGAACAAAGTTGCTTCCCGCCATCGTTTCGCCTAGATTTAACAATTTACACTTTCTATTCCCACGCGAATCAGCGTATAATATCTACTGTTCTCTAATTATTTGCCTAAAAACACTCATAAGTTTCGAAAACAAATCTTAAGAATTTGACGTTTCACTCGTATAAAAACCTATAATTGAGACACGAGGGAGGAAAATTAACTTAATTAGCAAACAGGAGGACGCGTACACGGAAAATCAATGTTTATTGTTGAAAAGTTTGCTTGAAATTTGATTACATTAGATTTAAGGACGGAGCTGAAAACAATTAGCAAAATAAATATAAAATTCAAGATTGACAATTATTAAGATACAATTTGATACGAAATTATCATCATAATCAAATGTGTTAATTAGTAAAACAGTACAATTTCGTAAAGTGATCATATATGATGTATGATGGCATGATCATGTTTTTTCAACTCTAGAAGCATAATCCGTGGTGCTGACCATGGTTAAATTTGTATGTGTTATGTTGTAACACGGTTTGTGTGCAGGGCATTGCTTTCTTTGAAAAATTAACTTGAACCTTATAAAGAATCTACTTCAATTAATTAGAGGCATGAATTTAAATCTTTAAAGGCCCTATTGTTTAATATCGGTTTAATTATCGGTGCTACAAGTGTACATGACACTAGAAATTACACATGTTGAATACAAAGAGGGCTTTAAGCATAATCAGCCACGCCTGGCCCTAATGCAAATTAGCTAGCTAGATTATGAGTACGCTTGTGCCTGAAGTGCCTTTATTTGACTTTAGCAACGTAGGGTCGATATTGTAAATTTCAAATTAACTTATTATTTGACATTTAAATTACTTAACGTATAATCACCGTAGTTTTTTATAAGAATTCTCTCCCATAAAACAAAGATAGTAGGAGCCTTAAAATACAACTATTATTTAAGATATGACTTTATAACGAAAATCCATTCATAATTTTGGCCAAACAACTACCCAGTATCGGACGTAATTGAAACAAAAATACACACATAAATTTCGCTAGTGTATAGTTTGCACGTACGCGTAGATATGCGGGTGGATAATCATTGCTCTGCATACAAATAAACTGTCTCTATTTGCCACCTTATCTATAACAGTATTTACACTAATATTTGGACATCCTGCCAGAATACTACTACTGTTAAGTATTGTCAATTTTTTTTCCACAAAGGTCATATAAGAGCATAATAAGTTTGCTTGTCCATCAGGTTGAAATGTATCTCCATGTTAAATAATAACTCACATATATATCATATATATATGTAGAGATGTTTAATGTTAATAAATTTTAATACTTCTTATAAATTTGTATTTTAATAGACATGGACTAAAGATATATACACACATAGAATTAAATCTTGTTGATGACAGTAAATTTTTTTTTAATCAATGTAAAACTCACCATTTCGAGATACATCTAGTTCAACTAAATTTTCAAAGTTCTGAATATCTGATGGTAATTTGTGTATTTCATTATCACTAAGACCCAAACGCCTCAGTCGATGTAATCTGAAGAAGTTCTGAAAGGAAAGAAATAATATATATATATGTAATTATGATCTGCTCCAGCATTGAGGCAAAAACATTAATTATAAATACAAGGTGTATTTTTTGTATTATATTTTGAATAATAGAAGAGAAAATTTACTTCAAATTTATGTCAAGAGACAATTTATTTCACTATTTCCTTTAGCCTTGATTGCATATCTTTTGAATAATTACAATCCTAATGCTCACCAAATGCTACCCTAAAAATGTGAATCATATAATAGTTATAGCAGTGCTCAAGAAAGCATTGCATACTTAAATATTTCATACACATGTTTATATGGCATTATATTTTTATTATTAAAGTATGTACATCATATGATTTTTCCCGAGTCTAGTTTAAAACATTTCTTGTATAATAGTGTAGACTACAAAGTGCATACAACATAATATATAAGCCAGCAACTGACAAGTAGCACAGAACAGGTAGTGGTAGATATGGAGCTGCAGAGGCAGCAGAGAAACAGAGAGTGAGGGATATTTCACTCAGTGCATACATAAAAAATTATACCCTTTCTTCAACATTATTCAACCTCATAATATAGACTATATAAATACCTTGTCCCTGAAACTAAAATATTTCCCATGATATTTTTATTTTTGTTATTTATATTCTAAACAAACTATTCTAAAACTTTATAGGTCAAAAAGCCTGGATACAGCTCATGGCACAACACTATTGTTTCTGCAGGTTCCGAAATAGCATGCCCAAACTGCAGATCAGATTAAGCCAGAACTAGAGAGATAATCAGTGAAAACACACACAGAGAGAGAGAGAGCTGCTGCCTCTTTGCGTTGCTGTTTGCATCAGTAGACGTTGTAGGAATTGTCTTATTATATGTATAGTTTTGCCTGCTTTATTAGCCAGTATTAATTAAAGTATACCTAGCTTAACCTAGGCATAAAGCTACAACAACACATGATGTAATTAAGACAATTATAAATAATGTGATATATTTTCTTACACTGCTAAAGCTTCTATATTAAATAAGTTAACCAAAGAATTCGTGACGAAATTAATGTCACACTATTTACGTTACTGATAATATGGTAAACGCCCACAGAGAATGAAAAGTCAGTAACTGTTATTTTACGTGTAATTAATTACCTTAGGCAGATCCCGTATATGATTAGCATCCAAAAACAGTTCTTCTAAACTCCTGGAGTAACGTAAAATGTCTTCAGGTACTGTTGGCAACGAGCAGTGCCGCTTGTCTACACATTCCACTTGACGATTACATTTGAACAAAGGTATACATCGAAACATGATGGACTACACTACACTACACTTTAATGAAACTGTTCTCGTATAATTCACTATCACGACACATATTCGAGCACTTTTAGTTGATAGAACTACACTAGCATTTTGTACTTTATGTTAGAACAATAATATAAAAACGACAAGGGGAATCTCTTTAACACCTCACCCTTAGAAATGAAGCCACAAACTAATTCAGTGTTGCCACCTGCCGATTGCCACTGTTTCACACTTCACAGTTCACAACTATTAACTTTTCAGAGTATATTTGTATGTGCACCACAGACAAATGAAGAGTAGTAATGTGCGTGAATCAATACATTTACAATCCATTTACATTAAAATAAAGTATAGGTTTTATCAAGTTCTGTATCTGTTTTATACCTTAGTTTTATTGGAATGTCAAACGGAAGGTGTAGGAAATAAATTTTAGTAAGAACAGAACCAGCGACAAGGCCGGCTTTATTTAACTAAAACAAGGACACAACTAATTAGAAGATATTTGATTAACACAATTTTATTTATTACTACAGTCCTTAATTCGTCACTATTCAATTGTATAGCCCAGTATTGGCGTATTAATTTATACGGCCAACATTTACTTCAGATATTTATTGCAAGAAATCACAAAGTCTAAATAATAATATTTAATAATAAATTTGTATCGCGTTACGCAATTTTAAGATTTGAATTAAATATCACATTGATTAGGACCATTCACATTTTATTGGTACGTAACATTCGAACGACTCGAACTGCCATTGATACTGTAATTTCAATTGGTATGATCAACATCTAAAAATATTGTATGCAGCATTGTTAAATTGTTACTGTGGTGTGTTTAATTTATAGGTATTACTTTACAATATTATAATGTTTGTTTTTAATTTAGGGTAAGTGAATTTAATGTCAAATTACTCGTAAATTAAAATATAATAAATATATTTGTTTGTAATTAAGTTTTGGTTTTACCAGGGGCTGAACTTGAGTGGGAGATAACAAATTTGGTTAAAATTATAAACGGGATTTGCCTCTCGCTCAGTAGTAAAGGCTGCTACTCTGTTGTAGAGATTTTGCAAGGGATCTGACTCATGACAGTTGGTAGTTGGCACTTGGTACTTGGCACGTCGTCGCGCCATGTTATGACAGCAGACAGATACAGAATACTGATTTAGTTTCATATTCGCGACTCGCGCGTAAAAATTGATTCAAATAAAAAATAATAAAAAAGTAGTTACTCACATTTGACATTTGGCTTCCACCAAATACTTATTATTATCACATGCCAGATCGTTTATAATATTAAATATATTAGTTTACAACACATCAAGTGTATTTTTCGTAATTATTACTTTACTTAGGATCGCAAAACTTATTCAAAAGTGGTTTTTCTATGACCTTAGAAGTAATAATATTTTACACGTTGAAAAATAATATTTATTCACACTTGAAAATCATACCCCACAAATATCGTTTATATTAGAGACTGAAAATGTCTTACAATTTGGGCTTTATTGGAGGAGGCAATATGTCTACAGCTATTTTTCAAGGGATATTGAGAAATGGTAAGAAATATGAATGACGACAACAACAGGCCAGAAGGCCTAGGTATTTTTCCTAGCATGATTACTTGTCTCAAAACGATACACTTCTATTATATAATGTTGTAATACATATTTATAGTATCTTATGTATTTTTCATATAGGTGACCATCCAGCATCAAAGATTTGGGTATCGGGACCTCATTTGGAAAATCTATTACACTGGAAAGAACTAGGTGCAAACATAACAAATAAGAATGGAGACATTTACAGTACCTGTGACATGATATTTCTTGGAGTCAAACCACAATTTTTATCAAATGCTATAAGTGACTGCTACAATACATTACCTCTGAATATGCCTGCTAAGAAAGTATTATTTGTTTCAATATTAGCTGGCACTAATATAGAACAGTTACACAAGGTTTGACCTGTTAAAATTTAATTTCAATCAAAGAGACATTTATGTAGAAAACATATTTAAATCTTTTCAATTTTTTAAGTATTGTTATTATAGAAATATAATTAATGAAATATATTGTAGGCTCTGAGTATTCTGCCTGGTGAAAAACAAGTGATCAGAACATTGCCAAACACTCCTATGGCAGTTGGTGCTGGAGCTTGCTTATACACACCAGATAATTCAGTCACTGAAGAACAGTGCAGAAAAGTTGAAATACTTCTCTCAGGATGTGGTGTTTGTGAAAAAGTAGCTGAACATTTAATAGCATCTTTAGGCTCTCTTATTGGATGTGGCCCTGCTTTTGTGAGTATTCTTACTGTCTACAAAACAGTCTTATTTATATTGAGAACTACTTCTTGGCAAGTATGAACAAATATAAAACATGTGCCAATTTATTTAATTAAGATTCTTATAGATCTTTGATGAGAAATGGGTTGAAATTCTTTGCTATGAATAATGTGCTATTAGTTTTTTTTTACAAATTATTACAATAAATAAATCAAATTGTTAATTTTCTTATAAATCAATAATTTTATTTAAATAAAAAAACTCGAAAAAAATTGTTAGAATTAATTTACATACATGAAATAAGTGGCAAGTTGCAACTCAATTATGGTTAATTTTTAACTGTTCCAAGGTCATAATGTAAAGCAAATGAATAATGACATGATAATATATTGTTGAAAGGATTTTTCCTATTTTTTGCTAATTTCATTTTAAACTTTCTGTGAATTCCTTATTTCCTACATAATTTATTATTCTACCGTAGGCCTTTATTATATGTTGTTTTAATTTATTCTTAAAAAACGAATTTGTAAAATTTTACAAAAAATTACTAATACCGTCAGTTTCATATACTAAAAAAAAAAATTCCAGATGTATATTGCAATTGAAGCCTTAGCCGATGGTGCAGTGAAACAAGGTGCACCCAGGGCCTTAGCAATGAGACTCGCTGCCCAAATGGTCATGGGTAGTGGTAAAATGGTACTAGGGAATACCAAACACCCTGGCCTCTTGAAGGATGAAGTCTGTTCACCTGGTGGATCGACCATCTGTGGTGTCACTGCATTGGAACAGGGCAAATTTCGGTATGTCAATATACAATATACACTAGTTGTCAATTCATCGCTTCAAAAGATGGGAGTAGATAAATGGAGCAAATTTGTAACACTATGGCAACCAAGAGGCCATAAAAGAAACAGAGGTAGGCTATTTTAAAGATCGAAATATTTTTTATGAAAATATCATTATAATGGCAGGAAATACTAAGACCTGGACGAGATTGGAATACAATAAGGAAAAATGGCACACAGAATTGGTTATCATAGAATAAATTAATAATAAAACATCAGCTCATGCTTCCTTGCTTCATAAACCCCCTACTTACCCACCGGGAATATTGGGTGTTTCACTTTCCTTTTAAGTCCGTCATTATTTTATTTTTCTTTATTTTTATTGTTCAATGTCTCATTAAAAATGTGTCACTATGAACAAACCAATTACTTCTTTAATTATTATGCAAATTAACTTTTGGAAAAACAATGTTATTTGATTACTTTTTCATTACTTTACATAAAATGACCACAATATGTCTTAATATGGTTTTTAAATTAATGTAACCATGAAAAAAGATTAATGAAAATGAAAAACATAGGTTTGTATGGAATTTTTTCCTTTAAAACGCATTGTTTAAATGATAAAATGAGACTAATATAAGATGGCGCAAAGTTATAGGTCTCACATTGTTAAAAAATAAAGCAGTCCCAACTGCAACAATTAGTTTTTATGAATACTCTTTGATATATATAAATGGGCCACTCCCTCAATGTGATTTGGTGTTGATTGAGAAATGGCTATCCGCATCTCTATAAGTGATAGCTGAAAACTATTAAAACTATGACACATCTACTGTTTCAAAACAAGCAGGACTGAATATATACCTGGGAGCTGTTCCCGTGTTAAGAACTGCCGGACTTTTGCCAAAATACAAATTTTATTCGTTAAAGCTGTGTCAATATAAAGCCTATTCTAATGATACGTAAACCTTCGATGCAGAAAAGGCATATTTCGTGTAATAATAATAATGCTATGTGTTTCATTTATCCACTACTAGTTGATCAGCCTTCAGTCCCTGCCCAACCATTCTGGGTTTACCATGTTTACCTTCACCGTACGGTCTGAACGGAACTTTTACTAGTTTTCATTTTCACGTATTAAACATTATGAAATTGTTTTATAGGGCAACATTAATTAATGCAATCGAAGCGGCAGTTTTACGGACTAAGGAAATGGAAAAGAAGTAAAAACTCTGGTAAGAAATGAGGGTAGAATTAATAAAGTTCTTTTTTTGTATAAAACAAGGTGTACCTATCTTATTTTTGCATATCTAACTCTTTACAGTATTGAAATTATAATTTTACAGTACTCAGTCGTTCATTAATAGTTAACTTAATCAACCTTTATTTTCATATGATGGTTGAATTAGAAGAGCCTACTTGCATGAAATGTCTAATTATATAAAAACTAGCTGTTTGTTTGACACTAAAACTGGTAAGTTGTTGGACCGATTTGGCCAATTTTGATCTTGATATATTTGTGATAGTTCAGTAAAAGTTTAAACGGAATACGGATCCATGTATCATATATATATATATATATATATATATTTATATTTATTTTCGAATATTATTCGTTTCTAGCTTCAAAACATTTGATGTCTTTTGTTCTTTTTGATTAATAAATCTTCTGATTGTATTAAAACCTATACGGCTGGACCGAGTGGATTCGCGAATGGTTCAAATTATTTATAATTACATATGTAGTTTTTTTTTGTTTGTTTTTTAAGTTTGAAATGTTTCTTTATAGGACGTGTGTACAGATCTGACGGTTACTTTTAACTAAAAGCAATTTTTTTTCAGGTTATCTAAAAATATATATTTCGTATCCTATGTTATCTCAAAACTTATAATCTAAGAACTTTAAAAATCTAATCTTTAGATTGATACAGATGCCCTATAAACCAACCTCAAGCGGAAGTCGGATGGTACGAATTGTTTTCCTGGAAATAAAAAGAAAAACATTTTTTTGTTACTTAAAAAAATGTAAAACAACTTGGGGCTTAGACTAAATGCGTCATCTGTTTACGTCACTTGCCTATTGCACAGTATTTTCAACACGTTCAAATTGATGTCATAATAGAAAGTGCATATTTTTTTTAATGACAATAATTTTAAATAACACGAGATTTTTGTATTATTTTTCTTCGGTTAAACCACTCAATCCATTTTGGCGTCGATGTGTGGGACATGTGTAAAAGTTAAATCGAATTGGAAGCTAAAAACGGTACGTTCATTGCTAAGTTGCGGCCGTTTTTTAATTCTACTTATTAACATTGAAAACTAAAAGCTTTGTGACGGTGGAAAAAGTTTGGAAATAGGATTTGAGGTTGTTTCGTGTTCTAGAATACGTAACACACATTATGGGTATTCATCGGCATATTTAAGTTAAATGTGTCTATCTCTTACAAGAATCTGTCGTATTTGTATGTTTTTAGTTCTAAATTTATTGTGAAAAAGCAAAGAACTTACTTGATTATAATTGTCATATCACGGAATAGATAAATCAAGTCAGCTAAAAGCGCTAGATTTCGTAGTTTTTGCACGCATGACCTCTTTAATGGCACCACAATACGCAATCAAAATACTAATCTAGCAGCTTTACATTTTTGAGCTCTAACGAACCTACATTATCGCTGGAAAAAAACGAGTGATTTCTTTGGTTTAGGTACTCAAATACTAAAAATTTATAAATAAACTTCTGTAATTTATATAGCGACGCTTCGTCAGTGACCACGATTGGTAAAGTATACCTAATATATTGTAATAATTATTTTATTGAATCTCGATTTTTTTCTATTATCTGTTAATAAAATACCTAAAAATTTAATAGCCCAATCAAATTGAGCATAAAATCCTATATTTTAAGAATAACAGTATTAACTATATTAATAACAGTATTTAAGTGGAAATTTAAACTATACTCATTTGTTGTAATGTTTTACCTCATTTCTGTTTTGATGTATTTGTAAATGAATAGATAATAAACTATGGAACTCAGCCTCTTTTATTTTTATTGCTCAGTTATTTTTTTAACGAATTATTTAAGATCGAAAAAACGTGTTCTGTAAAGTATTTATTTGATTAAATCATACATAAAAGAAATACAAACACAATCTTTACCCAATATGCTCAGCAATGCATTTTCTAAAAGAGTTTTGTCTCGATGCTATACTTTCATATTTGGCGTAAACAATTTAATAAATCAAATATTTCTAAACTCCGTATTGTCCACTTTCAAAAGTGTCAAAATATACGTCATTTTCATTATCGTAATTAATTTATCAATACGAACTTATATAACAATCAATGCTTTTGTTTCTCATCGTTCCGAAGAAAAATCTTCCTGGTTGTTTGCTTGGGTGTGTACGGATGGTACGGATGTAAGCAAACAGACCGTTTAGTGAAAATAAATAATGACACCCTCCGGGCTAAGCCCACGCCTATATCAATACTTTTATGCCTCGGTACCTCGATTGGCATGTCTTCATCCTCAGTCTTCGATACACAACTCATTTTCCGAAATCTCTTACTCACTCTATGAAATTTCGGTCCTAATCGAAACGGGTCATTCCATGAGAACGAACGATTTCCTTTCACCGTTTTCTGTGATCCTATGAGATTTGCTTCTTCATCCTTACACGTTTCAGTCGCATCTTTTCGTGATAACAAATCGAATGGTTCACTCATTTCTTTCACATGTTTGGTACTTAGGGTACCGAGTTTCACTAACAGACTGTCGTATCAGTAAGAACTTCTATTTTGGCATTGATTGAGCGCGATGCCAACGATAAGATTATAAGGGTTTATGTGATTAATTTCACGATTTTGTTTGCTTCCTTATCTCAGTTTTTAAATTACATGATAGCTAAATTGTCCAGCACTTATCGGTGTGGCGTTAGAAGAAAAATCATTCAAAGGTATATTGTTATTATCAATGAAGGCTTAATATGGTGGTGTATAAGTGATACGTATATGGGTAATAAAATATTTACATACAAATCAAGACAAATACATGTTGTGTCATAGATAAATATCTGAAATGGGTATAATAATGGTATTCTAATGGCTAGTAAATATACGAACATTACAGTCATATTAATTGTTAAAAATTCCCTATACATAATTATATTATATACATAATTATCAGAGAATGCGACTGTTTTTTTTTGCATTTATTCGTCGTAAAATATTGTTTCTTTTGAAAAATTATTGAATTCCATGCCATCTATTGGGTACAGAAAACATTACGCACTTAGTGCCATCTTTTGGTTGTGGAGAAAATTACTTTGTCCTATATAAATAGCGCAGTATCTTACGGTCTATGAAAAACACTGAATAATCTTTTTCAATCTCATTCAATGAGATAATAAATATACAATCTGAACCGTAGGTTATTCCGTTTCCTTCATAAATTCTTAGAATTTAACGATGTTAAACGATTTGCAAAATTTGATGAATTCTGATAAGCCATTTGTTATAATTTTTATTCCACATCAAAGAACTTTTATCTAGTAAAAATACAAAGGACAACTTTTACATACGCGCGTTGCCATTTTGAGTTACAATTTTGGTATGTTAGGTAGATAAGCCTTTTAAATGCAATTATTATTTATACTCAAATTCACGGGTTTCTAGTAAATTTTGGGCGCGGTCAGTGCATGTAGAAACCTATTAAAAACCACCTAGGTATCGTTAAACACATAAAACATGCTAATGTATTAAATTTTAAGTTTGCGACATGCGACTGTTATTATATCGAGGTTTCAGCTTAGTTAGTTTTCATTTGTGGAAATATTGTTTTGGTGAATTGTACCTATTTGTTAGTGTTTATCATTGTTCAATTTTAATGTGGAAGTGACAAAACAAGATCTAACCTTGTAATTACGAACCGTGGCGTATTGCCTGTTATTTTCTGTAAGGTCGTTTTTTTCGTCAAGGTATTATGGTTACAGTATAGTGCAGTGTTTCCCAACGTGGGGCCCACGCCCCACAGGAAATTTGATTGTTAAGTGGGGCTATTCGAAAATTTATTAAAATTATTTGGAATTTGACTTTCAGATTTTCATGATACGTTTTGAAAATTTACTTACTTTGTTTCGTTAACAAATTCATAGTATTTTTGTCCAAAGTTTCTTGCGTACTATTCATTTTTTTTATATTAAAAATTACGTAAATTTTATAGCATAAGAATTTTAGAATAGCAAAGGCGGGGCACGGGACATAAAAGGTTGGGAAACCCTAGTTTCATCTTAGGCTTAGTGTCTTTTCGGTCTATATATAATAGGGTCTCAATCCCAGAGCTACTGGGTAAGGCAAAACTAACAAATATATTTTTATAAAAAGTTTTTAATACCCTAAGTTGGGTGTTTGAACACCGTCGTCAGCGAGCAAGTGAACATGTTTCAGCGTCTACTTAATCCAGAGTTATGAAATTGACAGTTCAATTGTGTTTCTTTAGTCAATCTGAAGACTACTTAGAGCTAAGCTATTTACAGGTCAAATGACATAAACCTTTCTTTATATATCTTTTATATAACTAGATAAATTACGTAATATATAAGTAGTGTTTGTGTAATCTCAAATTGCCGTCCAATATTATTATTATTTAGTAAGGGCCCTGCAACTCTTCCGTAGTGTTATTAATTTTTATAAGCCTCGTGATGGACCTGAGTCTGAAAACACAGTGGTCGTTGGGTCATCGACTTCTGGTTATAGGTTACCAAACACGAATTATTTGAATTGGTTATAACCATATTATGTTGTACTTGTTGCACGCAGTTTGCAGTTTTATTGCTTTTTACCGACTTCAAAAACTATTTTGTTGATTCCTCCTCCCTCTGTCGTGTAATTAAGGTTACAAAAAATTGCACTGGACTGCAAAAAGGTTTTTTTATGTAACAAGAGGCAAACGAGCTGGAGGCTCACCTGATGTTACGTGATACAGCCGCCCATGGACAGTTACATTGCCAGAAGGCTCGCAAATGTGTAAATTATTCACTGGTATTGTATATCGGTGAATAATTTTATTTTATTATCGTTAGCATAATCCCCGTATCCGATAGTTCATAAACTGTTTATGGTGTATCGTATTTTTATACAAGTGTTAATTTATATTAACACTTGTATAAAAATACGGTCACTTAGAATTGAGTATTAATTAAAAACAATTAGATGTATCTTCAATATAGCCGTTGTTTTCCCATTAAGATAACCAGTTGAGGTATTAATCGAATAAAAATTGGAGTATTCATTAAAGGTCGTCAGATATGAAAAGCGGGTTTATGTTGAAATTGTATGCGTAATGTTCATTGCCAGCGCAACGTTTATTTTCCTTGCATTATCTCTTTCTTTCGCATGCTAGATAAGTGAAAGAGACAATAAGTGTGACTAAGTCGTTTGTTGTGCGCAGGCGCAATTGATCGTCACAGTTTTCCCGCAGTTTGACAAGAGTGCAAGAAAATATTTTGTTGTGGATTTCGTATTACACAAAGGTAGGTCATTTTTGTATCGCTTTGTAGAACTTAAAGGTCGTCCACAATTTTTATAAAGTATAAAATAAATCGTGATAGTGTAAATAAAGTGTTGTGTAATTAAATATAAATAGACAGGCTTGCTGGAAATTTGCCGCGGCTGAAGTGTTTCAATAAAGCAGTAAGAGTTTCTAAACATATACACCTTTCTGTACATATTAAATTCCGTAATCCCTCAGGGATACATTTAGTGTAATTTAACATTGGATTAAACTCTTTATTTCGATGATTGTTTAACATTGTTGTTGGAAAATTTATAAAACAAACCGAAACTTTTATTTCGTTTGTTTCGGGTGAATAATACATAATGAGCCCTCGGCCGTTTGCCCTATCGTTTATAAAAATACATGAATTTGAAACAATATTAACCTCGAAAGCTGACAGTGTCGACAGATAAGATAATATCGAGAAGAATATTTTTATCATTTTTCCCCTCTTCGCTAAGGCTTTATTTGTGTCACTCCTTCACGATAGGATTACATGCTTCAGTTTCTCCTCCCCACCAGAGGTCTTTACGATAGCTTCGTCAAGTATCTTTACTAATTGTATTATTGTACAAGTTATTTGAACAATGCATATCCGTGCTTCCGTTTAGTTCCAAATACCACCACGGGGCGCTTTTTAAGTTGTCGATTTTACGTGTGATGGCCTCAGTTCGTCGACTGATACTTGTCCTTGTCATAAGAAATTTTGTGAGAATCCTTTTATACTCCATTATAACAAATATAAATATGTGTTAAATCTTACTTTGCGTTTCATCAATAAAGTTTAATGTAATTAGGTAGTGATAACATGACAATTATTTTCCTTAAAGTAGCATCCGTACACGTATTGATTTCACAATCATCTATAAAATCCCTTATCAGATAATCTTCGTTATCTGTTATGTTCTATTAACTATTTTGTATTACTAAATGGGCTAAATCGTGATAGCTGCCAGGAAGAAATCACTAAAAAAATCACTAGCCGAATGTAATTTTGATTAATTTAAATTTCTCATTTAATTCTAGAAACAATCGTTTCACAATAATTATCTATACTAATATTACAAAGAAGTAGGGTTTGTGCGGTTGTAGTGTTAATCTCAGAACCGACTTTTAAAAATTCTTCAAAAAGCCACGTTATTTGTGAGTCGCTGAAAAAACGTTTCTTACGAACGGTGCTTTAACGATGAGAGATATATGATTTAGCTTTAGAGGAAAGTACAGCTTGCTTATTCCTTCAAAAAAGTCAGCATATGTAAACTGTTTAACATATAAGGATAGGAAGAGGGCGTGCCTCCGCCGCGTTTAAATCCAGTCTAATGACGTATGTAAAAAATAGCAATTTACCTACTTATAACCGCTTTGAATTTATTATCATGCTATAAAAATTTGGTGAATTTCTAGCTAAGGTTTAATAAAACTAATTCCAACAATAAACACTATCTTTATCAGATACTAACCAAATCAGATAAGTACAAGTATTAGCTTACAGCGATTGTATATTGTATTTCTATATATTTAGAGGTGTAAATACCATCTATACAGGAAACGAGCTATAAGTTATCACGAGGTTTATTCTTTTAGTCGAAGGCGAAACGTTCCACTATGGGGTTGTGTTTATCGTTCGACTGTGGTGATGATTGCTGCAGCGTAAACCCCTGTTGTTTGGCGTTAACGGCCTGTTGTTGCATCCCTTGTCTATGCCCGAACGCTTGTGGACAGGAACAGCAACAACAACCGCCCCAGACGGTGATTATCCAACAGCCACCTGTGTATATTGAACAGCAACCAGGGTATCCGCCACCTGGAGGCTACCCTGGATACCCGCAGCAGCCACCACAGGGATACCCGGGCTACCCCTCATACAGATAAACGGATTCTCAAATAGTTAAGGTGAGTACACTGTGGACGACCGACTGCACTGCTTTTTGGATATGCTATTTATATTTACTTTTTAAATATGTCATACTATCAATAAGTACCTACAGCGTAATCAGTGAATTTTAACAATATGTAATTCGAATTTTTAGAAGGCATGATACAAGGAGCATCTATTCCTGCAAACAAACCGTGCATATAGGGGTATTCCATAGAAATAAATAAGTATTACATTATTGTATAATGAACTCATTAGCATTACATTTAAGTAAAGGCATACATGTGCAAATTACTTTGTGCCTCGTCACGGTTTTCACCTTGACACCTTCTTTGCTGTACATGGTGTGGACCTGATAACAAGCCGTTTAATCCCTTATAATTTCCATTAGCTATACTATGTTGATGACCTTAAACTGTTGTATATGCACTATTTTACATGCATTAAGACACCAATTACTTTCATCCTATGCATAATTAACATTTGCATGTACGGTGAAGAAATGCGTAGTGAGAACTGGCGTTCGTGACCCAAAAAGTGACGACGTGCGACACAAAGCTAATCGGAAATAAAAAAAACATGAACAAATTCGAGGCTAATAATAGGATATTGCGTCAATGGATTATTTATTTATCGAAAAGAAATATTTCTAGAGGCAATTATTTTTGTGGTACAACTTCAAACAATAGAGGTACATATTTATGTATTTTATTGTATGACGCTATAAAAATTAATAATGTTTCATGTTCAATGACATGTAGTAATCGTGAGTTGGTTCGGTCTTATTTATTCTTAAAAAGGCCGACAACCCACTCACGAGCCTTCTGGCATTAAAATAGTCTACGGTCGGCGGTAACCTAACATCAAATGAGCCCCCTGCCCCTTTGACTCCTGTTCATGAATAAAATAGATATTGAGGCAGTTCAAAACAGTAACTGAAACACTACAAACAGTCATATCTTAAATCTAGTCTAAAAGTGTGTTTTCCCATTACTTTTCGAATGGAACTCAATAATACCTTACCTTAATTTTATGGTTTTAGTATCGGCTAGATAGCAGGGGATATATATAAATGTATAATAGAGATAAATACTGGATTGAAAAACTATATACTATATACTAACTATATCTTTAACGCAATATATCTATTATAAATATCTTGCAATTCATACTAATTTTGATAATCTTATCACCTTGTTCAGTTATCGTCAACGTGATGGTATTTACACTGATAGAGCTGCACTAGGTAAAAATAACTACAAATATTTTTATAGTCGATTAATAATTCAATTATAAAACTCTTCAAATGAGGAAATATACTGGTTGATGCCATTAATACGGCATTGGGTATTCCCAACCGTCTTAATCTAAATAGACTTATGAAAAAACCACATATACAATATACGTATATTTAAATAAGTACAATAAAATCTGAAACTTAAAACTGGCAAGGACCTGTAGTGGCTGGTATGCATGATAACTCCTATAGATTTTTTTTACTGACTGACTTAATATCCCATGAATGATGGAGCAGAGGGCATCAACCCACCATCTACGGTAGTGTATTTTTAAATATATATTTCACTTTCAGGATGGGCTGTAACATATCCTGTCGTCCATGTTGCTGCTGTTGTATACCATGTCTTTGCTGTGACTGCTGCCCCGACCCACCACGTACCAGAGTGGTACACACTACAACTGTTGTTACTGTACCCGTTCAACCTACAACGCGCTATGAGCCACCTCCCCCCTATAGATAATCAAGAAATGTAAAAACGCAATGTAACAAAATCCTGTAAAATTAGACACAGAACTAAATTAGTAACTAGAGCCCGAATCTAAATAAAGTAGATAGATCCAATACCAGAAACATTCGCAGTTTATAAAAATGGTATTCCTAATTAACTGCTGATAAACTACGTCATCTTGACCTTTAGGGGTGTATGACCTCAAGTGTTCTGAACTATGTCGTAGTTTTTTTTATAAAATACAGATATACAATTTTGAGACTCTTTGGAAATGTTAAAATTTTTAAAGGGCTAGTTCGCATATTTCTAATAAGATTAAAATCATAAAATAGCTTTGAAACTGTGTCCTGATTTAGTATTCTTAAATACTTTTTATGAAATACAATCTTTACTTGAGTATGCAATCCGAATTATATAGGTAATACTTTATGTTCGTAATATTTAATTTAGAATAGGTAGCCTACGGCTAACATTTTCATTAAGAGCCTCAATAACGCCTTTGACCTCGGGACTCTTTTTCGGGCATAATTATAGTGTTTTTTTAAACGGAGATATAGATCAAGAATAAAACTGTTTCAACTATTAGCTTAAATTTTCAAGGATTTTTTATTAGAATTTTTGAGCGTAGTATTAGCACTCTTCGGACATCAGGCTCTTAATAACACAGAAAAATAATGTGAACGCCAGCAGCGACATGAAACACAACAGTTATGTACTTTAAATACATGTTACTTTTTTATGTAATTATAAATCTTTCCTAAGTGCAATTCCTTATTGTTTGTTTTTTATAAATATCTTATTTGTACACGTTACAATTTTGTCACAGTAGTGTTTATTATTTATTGTAAATAAATGTATTTGGTTATAAGTATTTTTATGAATCCTGCTATATTGTTATCATCATTGTCGTGATGGAGATTACAGATTTATGGTATTTCGGCTTAAGTGTTGTGTTTTTCAGACTTAAAAAGTAGAACTATATCATGCCGCCATTGTACGGTACTTTCTAAAAGTCAATCTACCAAAGCGCTGCGCATATTCGGGACTATTTTCCATAGTTCAAGAGGTAACCTGTTGTAAAGACTCGCACCGAAATTATTTGTTTGTGCTTATTCGGTTTCGATTGTGTTATTATTATTAAGACGGCTACGTGTGGGATTGAACTTAAATTGAATGATTGTATATATCTGTAATTTTAAGATAAATTCATGTTGTATTTGTGCAATGTATGTTCATTTAGCGTCGATGTAAGGGTAGGTACAGTTTGTTTGTAAGGGAGTAGGATACAAAAAGAGGATTGCTTTAGTAAGAATACAACAAACGAGTTTCGAACTTCGTTATTTTAAGAAAACAATCTGACGTCACCTTCGAGAGTGATATTTGCCCATTACTTTGTTACGGAGTTTTATAAATTATGATATCTCATGAAGCGGATTAGGCGGCTCGACCTACTTGGAGTCTGTTTCTATGTACTCATTGCCTGCAGCAACAATATTCAGTTAAGTCAAATCATGTGATATGAAATATGTATAACGAATTAGGAATAACACGTTTTAAAAGAAACCTTCGCAGAAAATGCATTAGAACAAATTTGAATACCATAAGGTATAGTAAGTCTTAAAATGTTGAAATACAGTATGACTTTTTCAGACTTTTTCAGAGGAACAATTCTGTAGGTACTACACCATGTTTGAGTATTAACAACTTCAACCAACAAGCCAAAACGCTTGCGTGATTCTCTGATATTAAGTTTTAGCAATAACATATGTGGAAGTAGATCAATCCCTTTCCGAGCCTTTTGGAGATATGGGACACTCTACACCTTCTACCGCAATTACCAAGCAGAACAAGATGCCCACTGAAGTGTTTCCGAGCTAATTTAACTGAGGGTCAGGGTAGGCTCAGAAAAAATCGAACCAAATCTTAAAAGGCCCCTCTGGCATTTACAGTGTCCATGGTTGGCGGTATCACTTAGCATCAGATGACCCTCCTGCTCGTCTGCTCCCTGTTCTATAAAAAAAGGGGCACTGCCCACAAAAAGAACTTTGCAGTTTTACGTTCGGCTTTTTACTTGCAAAAAAAGCTTTAATTCTTTACTCCTTAATATGATTTAATCTCATTTTATTATGATGAATGTAGAGTCCTAAAGATTGTGCCATTTAGAAAGGGTTTTCCTAAGAGGGGTTCATATCCCACGCGAAAACCATTTTACTACTAATATTTAGCTATTAGTAAATACAAACAATACAACTAACAACATTTGTAATGTAAATTAAGGATATGGAAATAAAACAAACAATTTATTATTATTTTTTTATATCAAATTTACCAATAAGCCCAAAAATATTAATTCTGTTCATTCGTATGTTAGATAAGTCTTATCAATAGATAACTTATGTATTTTAGTCGATAGCACATTTTTTCATATTCAGTACATAGTGACTCCAAAATGGGCTTGTGCATTACAATCGATTGCGGAAATCCTTGCGATGGTTGTTGCGACGGTGGTGACGGTTGTAACCCTTGCTGTCTGGCTTTAACGGCCCTATGTTGCATACCTTGTTGTTGCCCAAACGCATGTGGACGAAATAACCAGGATCAACCACCACAGACAATTATTATAAATCAACCGCCAGTTATAATAGATAATCAGCTTCCGGAATACGTATATCCACCGTACGGGCAGCAAGGATATGACCAACCTGCATACAGATAAATTATAAATATTGGAATATGGATCACGGCTGAAGGTATTGTCTTTTGTTTTTGACATAGTAATAAAACTTACTAAAATATTGTTAGGCCAGAAAGTTATGACAAACTTTTGTTTTAGTAAACACAAACTTAGATATATTTCGTTTTGCTACATAGTTATTATCTCGACCAAAACTATTATAGTTTTAAAATGAAACATTGTACTATCCATACGTTTGTGTACGGTGTAAATTATGAAAATTATTGTACCTTATACAAAATACCAGTACAGCCTTTGAGATCTAGACCTTAGATTTCTGTATGTGACGCGACTTGTTGCGTCGTGCCAAATATAGCCGATTTTTGGGTCGCAGGTTTCCTTACGATGTTTTCCTTTTCTTTACGCAAAAATGCGCACATTGATAGAAAGTCCATTGGTGCACAGCCGGTGATCAAACCTACGACCTCAGGTATGAGAGTCGTACGCCACATACTGCTCATTAATTGTCTGGGGATAGCAACGTGCCTATCATCCGACTTCGTTGATTTATGGAATGCCTGTATATAAATAAAATAAAATAAATAAATCAGTGGCGCTACAACCTTTTTAGATTTTGGCCTCAGATTTCTGAATCTGTTTCATGATCATTTTTAACCCAACAGGCAAGTAGGTGATCAGCCTCCAGTGCCTGACACACGCCGTAGACTTTTTGAGTCTTAAGGCAACCGTCGGTTTCTTCAAGATGTTTCCCTTCACCGATCAAGCGAATGTTACATGCGAACATGGACTGAGAGTCCATTTGTTCACAGCCGGGGATCGAACCTACGACCTCAGGTATGAGAGGCGCACGCTGAAGCCACTAGGCCAACACTGCAGTGCTCCTGTGTAAATTAATTGTATAAAAATATCGCAATCTTGTTTTCAGATGGGCTGTTCTGTGTCAATCCGTCCTTGTTGCTGCTGCTGTATTCCATGTCTTTGCTGTAAATGTCAATATGAACCTAGTCCGAATGTCGTTTATCATGACAACCATTATGGCTCCTGAGTCATCATCCCCTGAAGTTCCTTCTAAGAACTATGACCCGCCACCGCCTTATGTTGCCACCTAACGATTTATCTTACGCAATATTCTTATTGTGGGATTGGAATTGATACATACTCTCTTAAATTTTTGGAAGATAGGAAGGATTTTTAAAAAAACACTTAAAATATACTGTATACATTATTACCTGTACGTACAACCATTGAAAGGCTTTCGTTGATTTGTTTTATGTGTAAAATAATATACAATGAATACTTATTTTCATTCGGTTTTCAGCATGAATCCATTATTGTTTCTTCATTTACGTGCTAATTGGTATTCAATACAAGTAATCGATAACTTTTATGCAACATAAATAATTATTTGATTTATTTTTCTCCGTATAAATTAAAACTTAAAGGTACTTATAAGCACATTACAGTGTATATTTGTTACCAAAAGCTAACTAAAGCCTTAAAATTAACGTATAATTTACTTGTTCACATATTTATGCCTTTATTGTAAATAAAATTTATTTTAAGTGTAACTCATTAAAATAAAAACAAAGGTTTAATAAAAATTTGTCATATTGATTATATAAATTATTTAATTTCAATACCCAATTTCAGAAATCACAAAATTACTTCGTATATCTTATCACATGCTCACTGATTGATCGTTTAGTATCTAATCTCGAATATTCCAGGAATTGAAGCATTTATTTGTACAATATAAAAGCTAAATTCAAAGAATCGCGAATTTATTTTATATCTTTACTCGAACAATTAAGTACGTCCTTTGTGTTATATATTTTACTCCTTTATTAGTGATATTTTGTAGTAGTAAAGAATTATGTCTCTTGACAAGGTGTACCTATCGTTTGACTATGGCGCGTTTTGTCTGTTTGTACTGTGAAACAGAATGACGGATGGTGTAGAGTCTGTTATTGGACTAGACCAACACATCTACACATCTAGATTTTGATTTCCCCTAACATTTTTCTCATCGGCCTATGATCACGAAATACTTTGAGCCTATTTCTCAACTTTAATTGGAAATTCAAACGTTTATTCATCAATATTTCCCTTAGCATGCGAGTTCCACAATAAAACGTGAATTTGTTTTTCAGATTTTCAATATGGGCTCAGGATGTAGCAGTTGTTGTGACAGTGACCCACCTGCAGGAGATGGAGTTTATGTTGCCGACAACAATCCTGGATACAATCCTGGGTACCCACAAGACACAGTTATTATAGAGGATCAGCCTGGGAACTACGGAAGATAATTACAATCTATATGAAGATTGTTTCAAGTGATTCAAAATAGCCTATTTACATTTTAACGATAATAGTGAACTCTCGCTTGCTTCATTCACTGTTCATATAATAATTCTTTATAGCTTTTTAAATTTGAGTCTTCATTTGTTGTCTGATTTAGGAAACTTATTGGTTCTTATACTGTTGTATGTACCAATTTGAAAATCATTTTACAAGGTCTTAAGTAAGGATAAGACTTTATTCAATTATGATAACGAGTTGTGTTCTTGAAACTTTATCAATCCATGTATGCAGCAGTTTATTGATTAAATATTTTAAACAGTACATGTGATTTTTCATACCATATAAATTATAATAGCATCATGAAGTATTGATTTATCAATACTTCAATCAATTTTACTGCAGTAAATGAGAAGTAGGATACAAATAAATCATCGGTTGTTTTGCCATTCGACAATTTCTTAAATTCAATACAGTACTTCAATACTTTCATATAATCTGGGTGAAATAAAAATACACAGTTATATTAAATCTGTATTAATATATATAGTAGTACAATTTTGACAAAGCCACTTACAAAAACACGTAAATTAAAATCAGGAGCGCTCATTCTTATCAAAAAGTGGTTAAAAAGCGCTGATAATATTAACACAAAGCAACCACGTACATGTACATCAAACTCATAGTTGAATGCTTACTTCAATATTATGGAGAAAAATACAATGGTTATTCTTAATGCTCTGTATAGTTTAGTGAAAGATAATTTTTTTGACATAAAACGTTCCCCATGTTTAACACTCTCCACGTATCTCTTAAATTAAAGTTATATTTTTCCAAAAAAACACTAATTTATACTTCCGGACAGACGTGATCATTGGATACGTAAAAAATTCTTTTTTTGTTGTCAGCTATAAAAATACATCCCCCAAATTTCCCGCACCAAGAAACAATTGCCCAAGTAACTTGCCGACAGTAATATCATTTATAGTGGTACAGCGCGGGCAATGCCCTGAGGTGGCCCTCCCCCTGCAATACACAAAACTTCATAGTTTTTGTATGATACTTCGGATCCATCAAATGATATGTAACAGCAGTTGTGACTGGGGTGAACCTAAAAAAAATATAATATTAATCTATAATGTGTAAAGCTAGTAACTGTCCCGTAGTCACATTCATTTGTTTTAGGTTAGTTGAAGTCCCATGCATTATGGTGCCTTTAACCACCGGTTTAAAGCCAGAAGTCGAGACATAGTCACTATGTCAAAATCAAGTCCATTTTCAATCGACTACAGTATAGTACTGATCTCATTCTTAGGTCTACGATTCACAGGGTCTATTAATGTCTGTTATGATATTTTTTGAACTGAAACTTCTTTAGGGTAAATTTGTTACGGATGAAACGTCACTTAGATGTGCAGCGTTTTTGTCTAAGAAAAGAGAGAGAGTGATTGAGACCGATTGAGAGAGAGAGTGAGAAGGGCGAATTACCTTATAGAAATTCTATTGTTAAAATTAAAATTTCGTAAAGACAATTTATGAATATTTATTATTTTATTGCATTTTTTATATTATAATTATTGAAAATACTGTATACTTGATTGTAAATAAAATGAAACAAATAAAAAAATTATTGAAATCTCAAATGACAAATTGTAAATTAAAATGTTTACGTTGTTGTTAACGTGTTTTTAGTATCGGAGAAATAAATAAAAAAAAATTTAATAGATTTGTATTCATTTTCGACAATTAATATTTTAATGACAATTAAATTCATTAAATTCGTAACTTATCTTCTTTTCCCTCCCTCTAAGTCTCGGAAAACTAAAGTTTTAGATTTGTATAAATATGAACAAGACTTAAAAATTGACAAAGAAGTTTCATTTCTGACGTGTGTACTTTGTACGCACGCACTTTTTATATATTTCATATCAATGCAGCTAGCGCAAGCAGTTAAACAATCCTAATATAACATAATAAAAATTAAAAAAAATATTTTATTATGTTATATTAGGATTGTTTAACTGCTTCAGCTAAAACAGTGCCGGTTGACATAACTTCCTTTGAGTAGCATTAATTAATTTTAAATTTGTAAAGTTTACTCAACACGCCTAATTGATATACTTATAATATTATAATTACACCTAACACAGGTTCGGTTAGAGGTTAATAGATGTTTAAAGTTAGTCGCTGACTTAATTATTTAAGACTAGACTATTCAAAGAAGTTGCGCGACAACCTAAATATATTTAAGATTCACGTTTGTCGTTAGTTACCTTTCCAGGAGTTAGAGATCCCCTGTGCCTAACTCGTCCAATGTACAGAGGCTCGGCATTGTCTGTATTGCCAGCGGGTATAGCGCCAGGGGCGACTGAACCATTGCTAGATGGAATCCATCTAACCTTATTCGGATTCGTACATAAAACCTGAAAACAGTTGTTTTGTAAGCTTAAAGTCATACTTTAATAACATTAAATATTTGGTTGCATTCTCGTATATTGATATTTACATTCTTGTACAAATACAGTGTCGAGTGAGTTCTTTAGAAACTAAGCTAAAGAAATCTAGAATTTAATCTCTAAAAATTAATACGAATAACTTGAGAATGATAATTACGAACGAAGTTTCGTTCTTGACAGCATCTCTTGATGTTTGTGCGCCATTTTCCATTCGACCAATCGAAATAAACTCCGTTATCGTTTTACAATCTCAGTCAGTTTTACACCCACATACCCCTGACTCTAAAAATTCATTCAATCAAGACTAACGTTCATTTGAAACACTCACCTCAAAGTTATGTACGCGTACTTCCTTTCCTGCATAAGGGATATAAGCAACTTTATGCTTTATCGCTAGCTTTCCAGGGATCAAGTTCCCATTGTGATGGGCTCTTATAGTCCATAGGGGGCTGTTATCCCACCCTTCTCTACCTGTCACAAATACACGGCTGGATAGTGACTCTGCTGCATGAGAAGACGTGGGAACCCAGTCAACATCTGAATCACCGAATGACTTTGGCGGATCGTCTGGAATTAATAAAATAGTAATAAACATTAAACCTATAAAAAGAAGTAGAAACTTAATCTTTGTAAAACAAAAGTCATATTACAGGCCATACAAAAGCATATTTTGCAGGCTTTCAAGGCAGTCCTTGTCGCTTATCAACCAAATTTAAATGGAAATGGTCATGGCAAGCAGGAACTAATGAAATTATGATTTGGTCGATGTCTGCAAGACACTTCTTCCATTCATTTTCTAAAGCCTCTGCCCAGCCGAAGCACTTACCTTAGTAACTGCAATTAATCCAGAAGAAACTTTCTACTTATGACTTAGTTTTACCTGGATTCTTTTTCAACTCCTTAAGATTAAAGTCGAGTTGTTTAATATATTTTTAGTTAGTTAAGACATCATCAGATTTTTTTATTTATACACGTTTTATTAAAAACTACATACTTTCAATGACGTTTACTGGATCTTCCGGTGGTGGCTGGGGCTGGGGGTGTGGGTACGCCGGTGGGTAGGTATGTGTTGGAGGGTAGGCATGTGGTGGCGGAGGGTATACCGGCATTGGCATGACCACAGTGGGAGGATAGACGACCCCGGGAGGAGGGGGATAGCCAGCATAGGGAGGGCCCCCAGGTCCACCGAATGGAGGACCACCGTATGGAGGACCTCCGGGACCACCGTATGGAGGGCCTGAAACATGTTTATCATCTTGATTATTCTCTTTGGAAAAATCTCAAAACATTCTCCTGAACTCCTAACTTTTTAATATCCATCCAATTGCTATTATTATTTAAATATTTCTTAAATAATACTGTTCTTATCTTCATGAGTAATTCGAACGAATCAGGCATTTCGTGAAAACGTTTGGAACATAATGTTCAAAGATATGAGAAATATATTATTTCTTATTATTTATGTACTTAACGTTCAAACAGTTTTTGTCGGCCCCACTCAATTGTGTAGCAATTTTAAATATATTTTTATCAATAGAATAATACTACTCTTATACTCAATATTAAGAAAAAAATATTTTAATATCAAAAAACAACCTAATAAACAAAAAAAATATCTTACCGTATGACATTTTCTAGTATTTATGGGTTATGTAAATAATATGAAACTAGTGCACACTTATTCGCTTCTTCGTTCAATTGTATATTGTCCAGGTGATAAATAAATTATCACCTGCCTCCTTATCTATTGATTAGATAGCTAATATATTAAATTGCTGCGTTTCTACAAATTTTAAGTCACGTTATTGTAATTTGAGATTAGAAAATAAATTTTATTGTTACTTTCCCCGAAAAAAATACCTAAACAGAATATAACAGTCTTATCAGTCGAATAATTAATTTATAATTTCGTTTTAATGATACGGTTCGTTTCTAATGCTGAATTTGATTACAGATATAATTCTATAAATGTAATAATGGATCTTCATACGAGTTGTTCTGCCTTGTAATGTTTCAATAGGATTAAAAACATTCATATCACTATAATTTAACTCGTGCATATAAAGAAATAAAAGTTTAATTTTATATCACCAATTAAATTGAGGCAGATGCGTTCAACTTATGCATGAAACCTTACGGATGGGTGGTGAGGCGTAACAAATAAAATAACAAAATATATCATCGCGATGACATCAGATGACAAAGAAAAAGCACACCCGAAGACTGAACACATTTATTTGTGTAAAGTCCACCGAGGTTGTATAACATTACGCTGATATTACAGTAGCATGATCATATGTTGCAGCCTTATGGTTTTATATATGTATGTGGTGGACTTGTTCTTTAGTTATCTAAACGATCATTCCATTGAATTTATTAAATATTAGATAATCTTCAATAAAATATATTATTATTTCCCAAACAATCGGAATACTCGAACATGTTCTATCACTATTTTCGATTTTTCAATTACATTTCTACATTCTTTGGACAAAGAAAACCATTTGAAATATGCACTTCGAGTAGCATTGGGATTCTTTCCAAGTTTTGGTCTTTAGTTATTGCAGTGTCTATAATATATAGCTCCATTCTTACTATAGATTTTACAGTTTCACTCCACATCAAAAAGAATGACGAAACTGGAAACATAAATGAATTTATTGTGTGTTTAATAATATTTGTAACTAATTTGCGAAGAGAAGATATGAATAAGCGGTTGTATGCGGTTATAAATAGTGTCGTATCGGGACTTAAGCTAACAAATGAAAGTGTTAAATTGTTAACAGTTAAACTTTATGTGTGGATAACGTGTTTTTCTTCTTTCTATATTATTGCGATTGTAAAGGAAATTCTCAATTCCGACCCTCCATTCATCCATCTCTTAAGAATACCATTGTATCTCACATTACTGCATTTTTATACGCATTTATGCTTAATTCTGTCACTGTTAAAATTAATCAATATTTTCATTTCTGATATATTTAAGTTGAATTCGGAAGATAGTTTTTTGGTTGAGGGCTTTGCGGAGCCAAAACATTTTGTTACGTATTTAATTAGTTATGACATCAGATTTATTAAAGTTAAACAAAGAAATTTTGACCTCAAACATCTTTGCAAAATGTATGACCATCTTAGTACATGTGTTCAATATTTACAAAAAATACATAGCTTGCAGGTGAGAATAAGAAACATCTTATGGTGATACGTTAGCAAAACGTTAAGAAATAAAGATTGCGCATTAAATTCTAACAGTTTATTGTTAAAAAACAATTATTAATATTTTTATTTTGTTGTTACAGATTATATTAACTACGTGGCTAATGTTTTCATCCTCTGTCAGCGCGGTGGCGTTAATAAGTACCGAAAAGGTAATAACTAATTAACTATATCTAAGATTAACATTAAATTAAATCGTCTGAATCGTTGAATTAGTTGAATAGAATAGATTGTAACATAACATATGAATCTATGAAATTATTATTTATACAAAAAACCTATTATGAGGGAGAAACAATTATGTTACTTTTACTATCTAGTTCGAACTTATGATTATGAAAGGGACTGCTGTATTCATAAGTAACAATGTTATACCAATACTCCTGGAGTCAATCTATCATAAACTTCAACTTTGGACCTTATAGTAGGGGAGCCCACGATGCTAAATGGGGATTTACTCGAACGTCATACCATGGGTTGCGAAGCTTAGATAATAATAAGAAAAAAATGTTATGTAATGTATACCTTAACATCGGTGGGGGGATTATAGTTTTTCAAAAATGTAAAAAAAAACTGTGCCATGAAGATACTCGAGCGCGACAGATATTGATAGCATCCATGTCCTACGTATTTTTAATAATGTAGGTATGTTAACCAGATTATTTGCATTATTTTTTTTTACTAATCTGATCCTTTATCCTTGACGGGCGGTCATATATATGGGGCTCATGTTTGGTAGAGGTACTGAACCGGATACAAGGTATCTCCCTGTATATTAATCCGCCACGCTGTACTAAATCCCGGAATCCCCGTTTGAGCTCCCCTAGTATTAAGTCCCTGTTCTAACTGAAAAACTCGACTTATTTTGATTTAAAATTATCACATATTTTGAATCTGGACATTTCCAATCACTCGCTTAAGAGTATTTTTTTTTTTGTTTTTGAGTAAAACAATGGTTTAGTTTAGGCCCTTAATAAAACATGTAGCACCCATCACGATAGTTTATTTTATTTATTAGCATAACACCAGTTAAACAGGTAGATACTTAGCAAAATCAATCAAAAATCAGTAAATATTATGTATGAAAAACTCAAACATTTGTTTATCGCACAGAATTTGTTTATCTATATAAATTGTTATGATTTTCATTCTCTAATATTATGCCAATATACACTTGACAAAAGTATCATACACATGAAGGCTATGTCATGCAAACTGAAAAAATTATAGAATAAATCAAAACATCAACTAAAAATGATGTTTTTCTCTATAGACAGATACACCGTTGTTAAATGCTGTAAATGGTCTTCTTCCATTCTTTTGGTTCGGCATTGGATGCTTTATTGATGACCAAATACGTCAAGAGGTGGAAAGGACAGATCTTATTATAATTAAGCTTCTAATTGAGTTTCGCTGCGGTAAGTAGATATTATATGAATAAATTTTGTCCTTGACGTGTAATCAATATATATTTTCTATATTCTTAAGTCTTAACGCGTGTACCCACTACACATTTAAATATATAAGAGCACGCACCAGGGTACGCCGAACACATGGCGTTTATGTGCGTAAGGAATTTGTCTAAAAAAGGCTGTAAATTGAACAGCTAATTAAGTTAGTTGGCTGCGACATACACACATCGACGGTGTGTATTGATAAATATAGATCTGAAGATATTTTGAAAAAAAAGTGGTAAAACCTGTATGCATAAATGTCACATAAGATCTAGATTAATCTCGAATACGTACTCTTTGAGATAAATATTCGTGAATCATCAAAATGATTCACGTGAAATCAGCTCTAGAAACGAGAATTATGGATATGTATATTGTTTCTCAGTTGTTCAGAAAATTTAACATTTCCAATGAAACACTAAAAACAAATATTTTTTTTCGGTAGTGATCTTACAAAATGGGTCATAGAACTTAAAAATGTACACTATTTCTAGTTAAAAGAAAATATAGGATTTTGAAACGGATATTCTTTATATATTCAATTGATACAACCACATTATTTACATGATACGATATGTATGAAAGAAAGAATGAAAGAAAGAAAAAACTTTATTATATACAATATACAGGATATTTAGGTAAAGTAAAGTGCACTATCCCCCACACTACAAGTTTATTGTTTATCAGAATGCCAAATCGTAAAATGACTGCTTCACGACTGATTTGAGCGCGACCGCCGCTGTGAAAACCGCTGAGTGAGTTCGAAAAGTGAGTTACAGAATCGCAAGGCAGCATAGGACAGGTTGACAAGATATTGTTTGAGATTTTTAGTAAATGTATGTAATGAGAGTTTTGAAATGTTAGTGAAAATTTTGTTTTTAAGGAAGTGGTTAAAGATGAAAGGGCCTCGGAAGGAGAGAAAGCGTTGGGCGAAGAAAGTTGGTTTTTTGTGTTGCTTATATATAGGCTGTTTGTTTCCAAAAAAGTCTGCATATTACTAAGTATAATTATCTAACAGTTAAAAGTTTTGTTTCGTTGAACAATTTCGAAGTTAAGTAGCGGAAAGGTTTCCTATATTTTCAGCATTGAAGACAATGCCGCTCCACCCCATACCGATATGCAGTAAGATAATATCGACTGGCATAATGCAGTATACACTATCTTGATTATATGTGGATCAGAATGTCAAGTACCGTTGTCTTTTTTGTCTTTCGTTCAGAAGAAGTGGCCCGTCTGACGCTGATCGTGACTCATATATTCAAAACATGTTTATTTATTTATCAATAAGAAAACATGACAGACACATCACAAATACAAGATAGCGTATATAGATACTTAAGCGTGTGACTCTTATCCCTGAAGTCGTATGTTGGCTCCCCGGCTGTGCTATAATGTGCGGACTTTCATTCTTTATGCGAATTTAACATTCGCTCGAACTGTGAAGGAAAACATCGTGAGGAAACCGGCTTGCCTTAGACCCTTAAAGTCGACGGCGTGTATCAGACACAGGAGGCTGACCTACTTGCTTCTAATAGACAAGAAGACAAGTGATCATTGACAAAAAATTGTCATGAAACAGATACAGAATTCTGCAGATCTAAAAAATGGTTGAAGTTGATTGATTGTTGGATTTATTTTTTATATACAAATTATAATTATACAAGTGTGCTTAAATTGTTTCACATAAGATGTTTTCAAATACCAAAATAATACTTATATATGTTTAATTATTTTTTCAGAGTCTGGTACAAAAGAAGTTTTGAGCGTATTTAAGCAAGCTATCAGTACAAATAGCCTACAATTCAAAGCGGGAAACATGTATAGATTGAATTATGCTGCTATGTTGGGTACATTAGTCAGTGTTATTACATATAGTATAATAGTAATTCAATTGTTCTAATAAACTCATCATTTACGCGTTGTATTTCGATACTTATATATATACTTTTAACCTCATACCTATTGTTAAAAATCACGTTAATTCTGTGTGTGAGTGAAGAAATTAAAAGCGGTTTTAGTTCTTTTTGCTTTAGAATAATGATAATTATATAGTATTGCACTTCTAATAAAAATATATAAATGGTGTGGAGAGAAAAAAAACCATTCAATTTTATTGGATTTTTATTTAAACATAGTAACTTCCTATCCTACCTAGCTTATTCCTAAAATCTATTTGAAAGTTTTTCAATATAAACTTTTTTATTACGTTTTGTCTGAAGAACATTTTAGCATATCGTTTTTCAATTATAAATTTTACTTTTTTTTTTTTTTTTATTGGACAATTCACACCAATTGACCTAGTCCCATGCTAAGCTGGTGAAGCTTGTGTTATGGGTACTAGGCAACGGATATACTCGTACATACATATTATAGATAGATAGACATATAAATACATATTTAAACACCCAAGACCTAAGCACAACACCAAATGCTCATCACATCGATGTTTGTCTCAGCCGGGGATCGAACCCGGGACCCTTGGATTCGCAGTCAGGGGTACTAACCACTAGACCAATGAGTCGTCAATCATTCATTCATTCACATAAATTAATCTAACATTAATTAAGCAACCAAGATCATCTTTACTAATAAAATCATAAATCAAATTTAATCCAGATCCAATAGTTGAGATCTGTCCAAATTGAATGATTATTGAGCTTTTTAAATGTTTTATGACATACTTTTCAGAATACTAGAATGTCTTGAAACCCACTACTGTCTTCAGTTTTGTGGTCTCTGCAAACCTCTTGGGTAATCTGGCGGTCCGTGAGGCTGTTCATGTGGTGGAGGTTGAAATGGTTTCCTATCTTTGTCCCCGGAGCCGGACATCTGAAAAAAGATAGTGTCAAATAACGCAGACAAATATAAGTTCCACTTATGGTTTCAACGTACGACTCATCTCTAGGGTCGTAGGTTCGATCCCCGGCTGTGCACCAATTGGCTTTCAGTCTAAATGCGCATTTAACACTTGGCATGCCTTAGATTAAAAAAGTCGACTTTATATGTCAGGCACAGAAGGTTGATCACTGACTTGCCTATTAGAAATGATAACGAAACACATACAGAAACCTGAGGCATAGACCAAAAGGGTGGTAGCATCATTACTATAAATGTTAGAATTCTACACAGTCTTTTAGGCAGATTTGATCTTTACGGAGTATCAATACTAGTTATTAAATCCCAGGATCCTCCGACTTAAATACACTTATAAATATCATTACGACTTATTACATTACTTGTTTAAATGCCATAACGTATATAATACATTTAGTAAAATATTTTGCCTATTATAAGACGACTTAATTATAACTGTCAAAATTATTTATATTCCTTAAAACGGAATAAAAATTGTTGTATGTTTAACCTTTCACCTTACCAACTTTGAAACTCCTAAATGTTTAGCATTGAATACAACACGGATTGACGAGTTTGAGAATGGCAAAAAGTAGAATTAAATTTAAATTAACTGTCAATAGGCTAGGCAAGTAATAAAACGTCATCGATCCATGTCATTTGCCTAGCTGTTTAACCGGCTGAATATCATTCAGGGCTCTAGTTACACGGCGCTGTTTAGTTAAGATTCTAGGCTGTTACGGCTTATCAAGCTAGTTGGCTGCGATACATATGTGAATAGCAAAAGTTATTTGCAAAAATAGGAATTTAATTACACGACATTTAGGAATTATAAAAATATATAAATATGAATATAGTTATCAAAAAATTAAGCTATATAGATCGCCGTGATTTGTATTCCTCTTTTTATAGATTAAATTACCATAAAAAAAAGAACACGGTACGTTATAGGTTGTATAACGTTAGCCAAATTGTTAAATTTAAGGCGCAGTATCAACTATTACTTACTTTCATGTGCACTTCAATGAAATTACTGTCGTGAGTTACTCGTTGATGCTCTCACTGAACTGTGATGACACTAGATCATTTTTTAAACAATTTTGATAAAAGATTTGCGTTTTTATCTCAATTGAAGAAGATAGAATTGGGCTTTTCCAAAATGTTACTTGGAAAAACACATTTTCCAGTTAAATCTAGATTAGAGTGAATTGCATTTATTTACAAATTGATTGATGCTTTTCTTGTTCTGTCATAGATACACTAACGATAAATGTTGATAGTTAGTCCATTGAAATGTTACAATTTGAGGGTCAAACTGAACATTTGTTAGAGGACGCAATTTTATTTATGGAACATGTAGGTGGGGTCAATACAAGCTTAAACCAAAGTTTGTGGGGTTGGCGCCCTTGCCCCCAGCCGCCATCTTGGAAAAAGGGATGAAAACACGTTTTTGTCTATATCTCCTAAACTATCCATGGTACAAAAAATTTGGAAAAACATATTTTGTAGCAAATCGCTTTGCTTACAGGCTAATTTTACAACATTATTTAAATTTTTTTTTAAAAGTCTACAAATAGGAATACCACGAAGAAGCTTTATGGCTTCATAGATTATTTTTATCATCACACCACTACTACACTACAAAAATCATACACAAAATAAATTCTAAAAGTATTAGAAAGCCATGGATAACTCCTGGGTTACTACGTTGTGTTAGACGAAGAGATTATCTGCATATCTTATCAAGAAAGCAGCCTAACAACGAACCGCTCCTAAAGGAATACACGCAATATCGTAACTTCTGTAATAACATCCTTAAAAACCTAAAAAATTTACATGAGACTGACACAATCCTTAAGAATAAAGATAATAGTAAAAAACTATGGAAATCTATCAAAAATATATGCCACTTAAACCCAACTAAATCCAATTCTAATAAACTTCTTGATCTACAAGAGAACCCTGAAAAATCTCTCGATATTGTTAACGGTTATTTCAGTTCGGTGGGTAATAAATTGGCTTCCGATATATTGTCTAAGACAAATCAGACTGAACGAGACCTTTGCCATAAAGTTTCAATTACCGCTAACTCGAATTCTTTTCTATTCCTTCCTTGTGACGAGCGAGAAGTTACAAAAATTATTAGCTCTCTTAAGCCTAATTCTGCCCCAGGTGATGATAATATTAGTAACCTAGTGGTAATATCATTGAAAAACATAATTGCAGCACCAATTTCTTATATCTGCAATCTTAGTATTGAACAAGGTATCTTCCCTGAATCTTGGAAAATAGCTAATATCACACCCATCCATAAATCAGGCAATAAAATGGAAATTTCAAACTACCGTCCCATTTTTCTACTCCCAACACTCGCTAAAATTACAGAAAAAATCATTAACGTCAGATTACTGAATTATTTGGAAAAAGAATCTATCCTTGCCAACAATCAATTCGGATTCAGACATAATAGATCTACAGAGGATGCTACCGCTGGATTGGTTGAGACCATAAGTTCCAAATTAGATGAAGGACAAAGGTGTATTGGTGTTTTTCTTGATCTAGCCAAAGCTTTTGACACTGTATCCAGACCACTGCTAATCGAAAAATTAGAAAGACAAGGAATTCGTGGAAATATCCTCTGTTGGTTTAAGTCCTATCTATTCAATAGAAAGCAGAGGGTTCGAGTCGATGGGTATAGCAGTCAACTAGAAAACGTTTCATGTGGATGCCCCAGGGAAGTGTTCTTAGTCCAACGCTTTTTTTAGTATACATTAACGATTTATGTTTACTCGCACTTACTAATGCTAAACTCTTTTCATTCGCTGATGACACAGCTATAGTCTTCTACTCACACCCTTGGGAACAAGTCACACGGTTAGCTCATTTAGGTCTTCGCCAAATCTCTTAATGGCTTTTAGATAATCTCCTATCCTTAAATACGTCTAAGACCAAATACATATGTTTTCACATATCGAAATCCAGCAAACCAAACCCTGTTCCGCCTATTAAATTACACTCATGTTTGAACCTTCACAGCAACTGCAACTGTCCTCTCCTGGAACCCACTAAAACAACCAAATACCTGGGATTAATTATTGACTCAAGGCTTTGTTGGGGCCCGCAAATTAACTACCTTTGTTCTCGAGTTCGCAAACTTATAAATGTTTTCAAACGCCTTAGAAAGCCTGCTGATCCACATACAATCAAGATAGTGTATACTGCATTATGCCAGTCGATATTATCTTACTGCATATCGGTTTGGGGTGGAGCGGCATTGTCTTCAATGCTGAAAATTGAGCGCACCCAACGTGCCATTCTTAAGATTTCATATAAGAAACCTTTCCGCTACTCAACTTCAAAATTGTACAATGAAACAAAACTTTTAACTGTGAGACAATTATATTTAATAGCAATATGCAGACTTTTTTGGAAACAAACACCCACCGCACCGCATCAAACAAAACGCAAACCCACATATAAGCAACCCACAACTCGCACTTTCTTCGCCCAACGCTTTTTCTCCTTCCGAGGCCCTTTCATCTTTAACCACTTCATTAAAAACAAAATTATCACGAACATTTCAAAAATCACATTACATACATTTACTAAACATCTCAAACGATATCTTGTTAACCTGTCCTATTCTGATACTGAAAATATTCTTATTGTGCAAAAAATAGTTTTAATATAAATGTGTAGAAATAATTAATATAATTTTTAAAATACTGTTTACGTGTCAAAATGAAGAGACTGGCTGCCCACAACACAGGGAATCCTAGTGTGGGGGCCAGTGCACTTTATCTAAATATCTTGTATATTGTGCATAATAAAGTTTTTTCTTTTCTTTTCTTTTCTTTTTATTTACTTCCATCGATTTTGAAATTATAATAAAAACATGGAAATATTTGTATTCTTTTAACTCCTCTTTTAATCCATCGCTTCACTGACCTCACCTACTTCACATCCAAATCGTTTACCTTGGCTTGCATATCAACGCATCTTAACATAACATTTGCATAATCTAGGTTGGCTAGGTTGGTTGTTGGTCAACCCCTTTAGGACATTCAATTCTCGTAAATCATAGTAGCGTCGTTACTGTTTTTCTGTGTATTATTCAAGTAAATTTCGGAGCAGTCTCATTATGTTCGATTATTTGCCTAGAGGTCGAATAGAATATTGCGACAGTAAATCAGGTTTGTCTTAGGTTAAAATTTATAATATTAGGGCCAACACTAAAGTCCCCTAGCTAACAAAGAGTATCCATACGTAATAAATAAATGTATTGTTATCTAAAAGAAGTAGTAAGCTTTGCATTAATTTGAAGAGACTGCCTAAATATTTCAACTGTATCCGCTTAATAAATATAGACATACGGAAAAGCTGTGCCAAGTAACTTGCCATTCCGTAGAGATTATGTTATATATACATTATACACATCATAATAGCTTAGGTAAGGTTCAAGATTCCAAATAAAATACTACAATATTTGAGAAATTCATATGTACTATCTTTATATTCAATAAAACGACTTACCTTTAATACGTATTTTGATAACATTTTAATACTAGAATAAGGAAGATGATCGCGGTTTTGTCAGCTTCGAATCTCGATCTTTCAGGGTTTTGTCGAAACTACACCTATAATCAATAAGTACATACCTAGTATCGACTGTCATAATACTATAACTGCGGATAATATTAATATAGTAGGAAGAAGTGCCGCTGATAATTAACCCACCTATATATATTTATTTATTTAGCTATTAAGCTTACGACATCACATACAGTCCTAAATCTACTAATTATTTTACAGAATCTTACATCTAAAATGTGTGACAATTAATGTAAGCATAAGTTTCTCAAAAACATTTTTTTAAATAGAATTTATATTATATAATAAGTAAGCCGTCGTAATTGTGTTTTGTTTAGATATAATTCAGAATCAAAATGTTATCATAGAAATCAATATGTAATAGCCAATGAATAACGAGGATGCATTTGATTTAAACTAAGCAATCGATTTCAGTACAATTGTTATCCGTAGACACTGTTAATTGTTATATTAAGGAGAGTAGCTGACCCGGCGAACTTTTTTCTTTTATTTAATTTTATGTAAAATATCTTCTGACATATTATCCTAATATTTGGTTAGATGGGTTCGATGGAAAGCATGTCGAATTGATAATAGCAAATGAATGCGGGTATGTGACTTGGAGGTGCTGAGATAATTGCATCAACTTTTGTCGTATCCCGGGTATCGTTTTCTAGTAAATTAAGTTCTTCACATGCAGCACGATATGTTGGGAATATTGTACCATGATCGCCACGAAGCAATGAATGCAATAGCTCAGGTGACGAAGTTAATAATGGCAAATTCACTTTCCCACTAAGGCAGCACAATCCTGGCGTTTCTCCGGAAAACTTCAATGCGCCACAATATTCGCAAACAACGTCCATTGGCCCAATGCAAACGCTAGTATGCAAGCAGTAATCAGTGCTGCAATCGTATTGAAGCGCTGCTCGATTCAATTCAGTACTTGATAAATTTCTTCCCGTGCGTAAATTATGTAGTTATCCTCTATCCTCTGAGGTTTGCTCGACGATTTCGCATTTCCAACCTAGCCGAGTTGCGGCTGCTACCTCGCTTTGCTAGTCGAGCACTAAGTCGAGCCATACTAACGCGGCGTTCTTCATGTGCAATTTCTTGTTCTTCTTCAGTCCTTTCATTCGCAATAATTCGAATCATAGTTGCATTATGGCTTTGTCGAGAAAGATTCGATCGTCTTGGTAGCGGCATTGTTAATGATATTATCGGCAAGATAAGCTAATGAAACTCGAATAAACACATCAACCGGTTAACTTCAAAACTTCTAATTGTCAAATTTTAATCAAACTTTTTTCGTTTCGTTTTGTTATACTACGTTAGATCACGTCCCACGGAAACAGAATAACTTAAACGACTTTCTTTTATATATAATACTAGTGGACCCCACAGACGTTGTCCTGCATGATATTTAAAGCGATTAGGATATTAAGCAAAGTATGAAAGTACCGACTGCAGTGCCATCTGCCGGGCTGATTTGTGAATCTAAACCATTCCCAGATCCCCTTGAACACACACAAAAAATTTCATCAAAATCGGTCCAGTCGTTTGAGAGAAGTTCAGTGACATACACACTCACAGAAGAATTATATATATAAAGATAGATACAAGTAGCGGCACGAAACTAGCGCTGATCGTTATTGCGCAGAAGTAAAAAATAAGGTACCTGAGGGGGGCTAGCGGAATAAAGAGCGGGCGCGGGCGCGCGTAGCGTCGATTGGCTCTCCAGTCGCATTCCGTCCCCCGCACCGATACGACGCCCCGCGCACATCCCGTGTACAGTCGCGTCATTAATATTATTGATACATTTATGCAAAGAGTGATCATGTCGTGGATTTGGTAACAGAACAATTCATTATTCATGTCGATGGAGATAGTTCCGAGGATAGCAATGAAGATGACGCTAGTGCCGACGAACGAAGCAGTCCTGAGCCCGGGCCCTCAGTAAGCAAAAGGCCTTGTCGCGAGACCATTGAAGGCGTGATACCGTTCTCTGATTCAGATTAATAAAAGATTACAAATTAAAAGATAATGTTTTTATTTTTCTACATCCCATAAACTTGTAAAATATCTTAGGTCTTTTTTGGAAATACGTTCTATGTACAGACACTTTTTTACTGTCTTATAATATCTTATAGATAGGTAATATTACTTACATGCGCGACAGTAATCATGCGCAGCAGCTATCCTTCACATTTCGTTCAGCTTAATATCGTTATTTAGGTAATCATTAATCAAAGTGGCATATAATGTATTGCGTGCGCGACAGTACACATGCGCAGCAATCCCCTCCACGTATCGGCCAGCGCTAGACTTACGTGCCGCTGCCAATATAAATATATGTGTTTATTTTCCCTAGTGATTTCCTTGGAGATGATTTGCCTCAGTCCTCACATGCATATACGATAAATGAAAACAATAATTAAACGAGAAGGATGTTCTTAGGAGTCAAACTAGTTATTAGTTAGTAACAAACGGCAACATAGTTTTGAAGTTATTATACACAACGTAAGAACTAAACGACTATGTTGATAAAGTCAAAAGTGAAATATTATTTATTCATATAGGTAACACAATGTACACTTATGAACGTGAAAAAAGAAATATACACAGAACGGAAGAGAAGAACTTGCAATAAACTCTCCGCCACTCTTTTTAATCGCCGGTATTATGATTAAACCCAAAAAGTGAAGTAAATATTAAGTAGCCTTGCCAAAAATCTGCGGCAAAGCTACGTAATACGTAGACATTCGCTCCAGGCCGGTCTCGTGATCTATCAACGAGTGTATGCCACAATGTTTTTCCCAAATACTGATGATTTGACAGCCGTTGTCAACTGAAACAACAATTCCTAGATAAGAAACAGATATGTACTGCTGCATTGATATCTAATAATATCTAAGTTTAATGTAGATATCGGAAATATCTAACAACCTAAAGACGATAGAATGGAGCAATTTATTCGCGCTTAGTTATATCCAATATCATTTGGTGCATCTCCACATACGCCTTATTTGGCCTTATTGTTGCCAAGGAAATAAAAATATTGGTTTGCTTGAATAATAATTGATATCGCGATGATGACTATCACGTATTGCTTGGTGTGTCGATCTCATTTAAAGTGAAGTGAAAACAAAACTGAGACAATTATTAATTAGTTTAACATTTTATTATTAAATGAATCGGCAAGATTATTTCGCTCCCTTAGCTACTATTTTCTCTGGTGCAACGGAGTTAAACCACTAGGCCAACACTGATGTATGAAGCTTTCTTTTTGTGTGCTCTATTAACCCTGGTTTGGAGGAAACCGGCATATAATATTGATCGCCTAGTTGTCTATAAAACAAAAATTATCCAAGAAACAGATACAATCTGCGGTCAAGACCCAAACAGGGTTGTAGCGTCACTGGATGATCATTATTGAATTTTTTTTCACTAAAGAATGTTAAATTGGGTAAACCTAACTAAACGTAACCCTAAGGCAATTTAAGAAATGTCTTACATTATCGATATGTACGCGCCTTAATAAATTTGTTTGCTTTGAGTCGAACTCACAAAGTGGCCTCAAAAGATGCAGCAATTTCTGCTTATCACGGCTATGTTGCCGTTCACAGTTCTGCGCTGTGATACCACAGATTACCACACATTTTATGGGGAAATTCGGTAGATATAAATAAAGTTTTTTTTACTCAGAAAATGAGGTATGTGTTATGTGGAGTTTATGCTTTAGCATATAATGCACATTAACATGGCTGAGGTGCAAAGCCTTGTGTGCAAAGATCATATTAAAATTACATATTAATTAGTTACATGACGTACTACCCCTTCCCTAATACAGTCAAAATCTGTTATATTTTTTATTTTATTAAGTTATTAAGCTTACGACATCACACACACGGTACTAAATCTACTAATTATTTTACAAAATCTTACATCTAAAATGTGTGACAATTAAAGTAAACATAAGTTTCACAAAAAAAAATAGAAATTAAAAATTAAAAAATACAATTAAAACATTTATAAGATAATACAAGCACACAATAATATAAAATAAAATAATAGATATTTGTTGGCAGTTTCAGGTTTTTAGTTGAAATGTTAAGTAAAGCAGAAAAAAAAGAAAAATCATTAGCAAAACAGCGAATTAGGTTCGAGAAAGGCACCCCACAATGCTTTCTCTAAAACCGATCAGCCTTGCGATTCTGTTACTCACTTTTCGAACTCACACAGCGGTTTTCGCATCGGCGGTCGCTCTCAAATCAGTCGTGAAGCAGTCCTTTTATGATTTGGCATTCTGATAAACAATAAACTACAAGCTCCCACCTTTTCAGAATGCCAAATCATAAAATGACTGCTTCACGACTGATTTGAGAGCGACCGCCGATGCGAAAACCGCTGTGTGAGTTCGAAAAGTGAGTAACAGAATCGCAGGGCTGCTCACTACCGAATATATCCAGCTCCGGATAAGCTGAGTTCAATCCGTTGAAATCGCGACGAATTCGAACGTGAGGTGCCTGAACTCCTAGGTTGCCAGAAGGAATTTGGAAAATATTGTTGATTTTAAACCTAGGGAATGAGTAACGACTTCGCAGAGACTACTCATAATGGTCGTAAAAACCGATAGTTTTTTACAGACGATGACGTTGTTATTAAGTACCTAATACTATTGTATTTAGCCGGGATCTTTGATTTTGGTCAATATAACCGGTATGTTGTTATTTAAACGATGTTGTCGTAAACTGTTTTGAATGTAAAGCCGGAATTACATTACGAAAGTAGTGGCATGAAATTAATTTTGTGACACTAGTTTTACCAACAGTTTCATGTGTAGGTATTTCAATATTTTCGTAATTCATGCATTAATTTCATGAATACAAATGAGTTTCCTGCCCTGCCCTTTTTTTGGTGAAATTAGTTTCAAGCAAATAATTCATGGAGATGCAACGTGAAACAAGTGTCGCGAAAGTGCCTGTGCTGTGCGGACTTATATATTTTGATCCTAATACATGATGCCACTCTGAATTCGTAAAGACTTAAAACTATATCCAGTTGCTAAAAGACGCAGCGTAATTTGAAGTTAAAGTTTTCCTGCCTTGCGATTCTGTAACTCACTTTTCGAACTCTCACAGCAGTTTTCGCAGCGCCGGTCGCGCTCAAATCAGTCGTGAAGCAGTTACTTTATGCTTTTGGCATTCTGATAAGGTCCCTCCTTGTAGTTTATTGTTTATCAGAATGCCATCGTAATCAAATAAGAATAAATCAATAATCAAAACAAGTATAAGAGTTAATAGGTTTTTATAAGTTAGAAATTAGTCAACACTTAACATACTTATGCCTAGCTATAATACATTCCATAATTGAGATTCAATATAACCCTTATCGAGGCGAATCACTTAAAACAATGATTATTTCGAGTGTGAGTCATCTGGGGATACGCTTTCCTGAGCGAGGATGCGGAGACGAAGCAAGTGTTGTAGTGTGGTGACGGACTGACAGTTGCCCCAATATGTGGGTTGAGAGAGCATCTGCTAGGTCCAAAACAGGGGTTCGTTGCGATAGAGTATCCTTGGACGGTGAAAGGCCCCGGCATGTTTGTTGAACGGTTCATTCTGGAATAAAAATATAAAATTAAAGTCGCTTATTCGCTACTGAAATTACTCGTTTGGACTTTTTTATTGGTTTATAGATGCTACTCAACAGTTAAGTTAAATATGGGTCACATAACAATTATCAATTTATAATCAGTAGATATTTTGTAATAAAAATCGCTCCAACACACACTTTTATATACGTGATATCACACTATTTATCGAAGTCCCTCCCCATTGTCGAGCCTATATTGTATAAATATTTAAGAACCCTATTAAAGATTACGTAAGACCAAATAAATAACGAAAAAAATGTACTTACGTTACAGTATTTATATCGATAACTGAATAAAAAGCTGATGCTAGCAATCGAATATAAATTAATAGTTATTCAATATGTAACGATATTTAAAAAGCGGCAACATTTATATTGAAGGTTTATCGGATTATGAATGCTATCAGATGGAAATTTCATAGTCATCTTTCTATTTTAAGAACAACTCTGATAAAAAATTCAAAATAGATGTTTATCACGCCTTGCACAATTATTGGAAATGCTCTAATACGTAATTAATCAATTTACATATTCTGAGACAGAATTAATAA